ATACACAATATAGAATCCTAAAATAAATAAACAAATATATTGTATTCCTACATAAGCAATAGTGAAAAACAAATAAATAGTGCCAGACTAAAATTCAAAAATCATATACACATATTTGATACAAATAGTAAGTGACTAATAATAAACACAAATATATATATAGTGCACACACACCTATATTAAACAAAAAAAATCCAAATAAACTATATCCAATAAGAAAACTATACAATATAATTCACAGTGCTCACACAGTGCAAAAGAATGTGTCCTCTCTGTTAGAAAACAATCTTGGCAATGTCCTTTGTGGAAATAAAATAAAATCATGCAATGTGAAATGGTGATAAATCCGTGATTGTGTCAAAAAACACTCTTCTCCTAATAACGGCTAGATTGCCTCCTCACCTCCTCCCAATGACCCCAAGGGGCCAACAGGCTTGTAGGATCACCCTGGATCCTTGATTTATAATGGCCAGCAGCTTCCTTCCTTTCCTGGATCTCCTGATCAGCCAAGGTAGTTTCTGAAGGGTAATAGCTCACCAATCCAGTGAGCCAAGAAAAACCTCTAAGTGTAGTACTTCAAAACACTTGTTTATTTAAAAGGTCAAGAGTAACACTCACATTTTAAGCAGTGCTCCCTCCTCACTGATGTGTGGGTACACTGCATGTGAATGGGACTTCCTGGGTGTAGCAAAAATGGCGTCGCACGCCGGAAGTGCGTCACCACGTACCGGAACTACAGACTCGCGAACCTACGCGTTACGTCACCGTCTGCTCGTGACTTCCTTGGCTGATCAGGGGCAATAGGAGCCCCAATAAGGAGATACATGTGTATGTGATTTTTGAATTTTAGTCTGGCACTATTTATTTGTTTTTCACTATTGCTTATGTAGGAATACAATATATTTGTTTATTTATTTTAGGATTCTATATTGTGTATTTGGCACATATTTTTTTATATGATAAGAGTGTTACACTATTTTTTTATGATGTATTGACACTGTTTTGGTATCAGTTTTTGAGTGTTGGCAGCTTTAGACTAGGTTGTATACTTTCATTTCATAGCGCAGGAGGATCTCTGACCATTTGTCTATCTCTTAACAGTAGCCATCCCCCCTTTTTCAAGGGACCAAAAGTAATTGGACAATTGAATCAAAAGTTGTTTCATGGCCAGGTGTGGCTTACTCTGTCAAGGATCCGGATATGACCAGAGATGTGTGAACTGACACAGGGAATAGCAATCTTCAGGAGTGATGTAATAATATAGTTTATTTGTGGGACACACCAATATACAAATACACCATGCAAGTAAAAACCAAACCTTCAATTAATATCTATATGATCAGAAACACAGGTGTAGTCAGGGCTGAAGAGGTAGAGTGGTCAGGCAGGCCGAGTCAGGAACAATCAGGCAGATCTGGTACAAAGGGGTAGGCAAACGGATAGTCAAAAAGGAGAGCAGGGTCGGTGCAGGCAGAGTGCTTAGTCAGAATCGAGCAGGAGAATCAAGCAGGTAGATGACAGGATACAGGTACAGGACAACAGGGGCTCATGGGAAAACAAACACCAAGGCACTGATTGCAGGCCTGGTTACTACTTAAATACACCTCCTGCAATCAGCCTCAAGTGATGGCTTGACTGCAGGAGGTGAGATCCTGGCTGCTGAAAAGCACTCGCTGGTAAGAACTGGTACTGCAGACCATAGAGCAGATGAGCCCCAGACATAGCAGCAACATTAGGAGTGGCCAAATCAACAGTTTGGTACATTATGAGGAAAGAAGAACGCACTGGTGAGCTTAGCAACATAAAAAGGCATAGACATCCATGGAAGGCAACAGTGGCGGATGATCGCAGGATCCTCTCTATAGTAAAAAAAAAAAAACCCTTTCACAATATCTAGACAAGTGAAGGACACTCTCCAGGAGGTGGGCGTATCATTGTCAAAGTCTACAATCAAGAGAATACTTCACGAGAGCAAATACAGAGGGTTCACCACAAGGTGCAAACCATTCATAAGCCTGAGGAATAGAAAAGCCAGATTAGACTTTGCCAAAAACATCTAAAAAACCCAGACCAGTTCTGGAAAAGCATTCTTTGGATGGATGAAACTAAGATTAATCTGTACCAGAATGACGGGGAAAAAGTGTGGAGAAGGCTTGTGTCAGGGCTCCCAGGTATGACCAGAGGTGTGTGACTGATGCAGGGAAACGCAGACTTCAGATATGTGATAAACAATACAATTTATTAACACTAACCATACAAACATAAACGCAGTGCAATACTAAACATAATACAGTGCAAACAAACCAAACCAAACCACCCACAGATAACAGTACATACAAGCAAGCGTCGTCAGGCAGGCCGGGTCAATATCAATTGGGCAAGTAGGTACAGGGGGAGCAAGCAGAGAATGGTCGGGGGTCACAGGCCAGGTTCAGCAGGTAGCAAGCAGCGTAGTACAGAGGGTCAAGCAGAGGGATGGTCAGGGTCACAAGCCAGGGATCAGGACAGGTAGCAGAGAATCAGACAGGAACAGAGAGCAGGAACAGGATACAGGGCCCAAGAGAAACACAACACCAAGGCAGAGTCTGTGGGTCTGGCCATCCCTTAAATACCCCAGCATCATCAGTTCCAGGTGTTAGCTGGCTGAAAGGTTGAGTCTCTGATTGCTGGGAGCACCCGCTGGCCAGCCCTGGTACTGCAGATCAAAAGGCAGGTGAGTCCCACCATTGCTGGCCAGTCCATTCCTAACAGTACCCCCCCCCCCAAGGAGCGGCCTCAGGACGCTCCAAACAGTCCTAGCTGGGCAAAATGTTCCACCGCCCGGGTCTGGTAACTGGCGGGATATCAAAGACTGGCACACCGGGCAGGACTCCGGGCAGCGGCACACCGGGCTGGACTCCGGGCAGAGGCACACCGGGCTGGACTCCGGGCAGAGGCACACCGGGCTGGACTCTGGGCAGAGGCACACCGGGCTGGACTCCGGGCAGAGGCACACCGGGCTGGACTCCGGCAGAGGCACATCGAGCAGAGGCACACCGGGCAGAGGCACATCGGGCAGAGGCACATCGGGCAGAGGCACATCGGGCAGAGGCACATCGGGCAGGACTCCGGGCAGAGGCACATCGGGCAGAGGGCACATCGGGCAGAGGCACATGAGCAGAGGCACACCGGGCAGAGGCACACCGAGCAGAGGCACATCGAGCAGAGGCACATCGGGCAGAGAGGCACATCGGGCAGAGGCACATCGGGCAGGACTCCGGGCAGAGGCACATCGGGCAGCACTCCGGGCAGAGGCACATCGGGCAGGACTCCGGGCAGAGGCACATCGGTTTACCAGGCGAAGCAGCAGGCAGCGGGCCACCAGGCGGAGCAGCAGGCACCGGGCCCCCGGGCGGAGCAGCAGGCACCGGGCCCCCGGGCGGAGCAGCAGGCACCGGGCCCCCGGGCGGAGCAGCAGGCACCGGGCCCCCGGGCGGAGCAGCAGGCACCGGGCCCCCGGGTGGAGCAGCAGGCACCGGGCCCCCGGGCGGAGCAGCAGGCACCGGGCCCCCGGGCGGAGCAGCAGGCGTCGGGCCCCCAGGCGGGGCGACCGGCGTCGGGCCCCCAGGCGGGGCGGCGGGCGCCGGGCCCCCAGGAGGGGCGACAGGCATCGGGCCCCCAGGCGGGGCGACAGGCATCGGGCCCCCAGGCGGGGCGACAGGCATCGGGCCCCCAGGCGGGGCGACAGGCATCGGGGCGACAGGCATCGTGCCCCCAGGCGGGGCGACAGGCATCGTGCCCCCAGGCGGGGCGACAGGCATCGTGCCCCCAGGCGGGGCGACAGGCATCGTGCCCCCAGGCGGGGCGACAGGCATCGTGCCCCCAGGCGGGGCGACAGGCATCGGGGCAACAGGCATCGTGCCCCCAGGCGGGGCGACAGGCATCGTGCCCCCAGGCGGGGCGACAGGCATCGTGCCCCCAGGCGGGGCGACGGGCATCGTGCCCCCAGGCGGGGCGGCGGGCGCCGGACCCCCAGGCGGAGCGACAGGTCTCGGGCCCCTCAGGCGGAGCGGCGGGCGCCGGACCCCCAGATGGAGCGACAGGTCTCGGGCCCTCAGGCGGAGCGGCGGGCGCCGGACCCCCAGGCGGAGCGACAGGTCTCGGGCCCTCAGGCGGAGCGGCGGGCGCCGGACCCCCAGGAGGAGCGACAGGTCTCGGGCCCTCAGGCGGAGCGGCGGGCGCCGGACCCCCAGATGGAGCGACAGGTCTCGGGCCCTCAGGCGGAGCGGCGGGCGCCGGACCCCCAGGTGGAGCGACAGGTCTCGGGCCCTCAGGCGGAGCGGCGGGCGCCGGACCCCCAGGCGGAGCGACAGGTCTCGGGCCCTCAAGCGGAGCGGCGGGCGCCGGACCCCCAGGAGGAGCGACAGGTCTCGGGCCCTCAAGCGGAGCGGCGGGCGCCGGACCCCCAGGCGGAGCGACAGGTCTCGGACCCTCAGGCGGAGCGGCGGGCGTCGGACCCCCAGATGGAGCGACAGGTCTCGGGCCCTCAGGCGGAGCGGCGGGGCGCGGACCCCCAGGTGGAACGACAGGTCTCGGGCCCTCAGGCGGAGCGGCGGGCGCCGGACCTCCAGGCGGAGCGACAGGTCTCGGGCCCTCAGGCGGAGCGGCGGGCGCCGGGACCCCAGGAGGAGCGACAGGTCTCGGGCCCTCAAGCGGAGCGGCGGGCGCCGGACCCCCAGGCGGAACGACAGGTCTCAGGCCCCCAGGCGGGGCGGCGGGCACCGAGTCACCAGGCACAACCGTGGGCTCCGAGTCAACTGGATGACCGCTGGCACTGGGTCAGACATTGGATCGTCTGGCTGGACAGCGGGCATCGGGTCACCAGGCATCAGGTCATTTGGCTCGACAGCGGGCACCGCGTCATCTGGCAAGGCAGTGGGCTCCGAGTCAACTGGTATGACCGCGGGCACTGGGTCAGACATTGGATCGTCTGGCTGGACAGCGGGCACTGGGTCACCAGGCATCAGGTCATTTGGCTTGACAGCGGGCACCGCGTCATCTGGCAAGGCAGTGGGCTCCGAGTCAACAGGCACGACAGTGAGCACCGGGTCATCAGGTACCGGATTGTCTGGCTCGACAGCGGGCACCGCATCATCTGGCAAGGCAGTGGGCTCCGAGTCAACTGGTATGACCGCGGGCACTGGGTCAGACATTGGATCGTCTGGCTGGACAGCGGGCACTGGGTCACCAGGCATCAGGTCATTTGGCTTGACAGCGGGCACCGCGTCATCTGGCAAGGCAGTGGGCTCCGAGTCAACAGGCACGACAGTGAGCACCGGGTCATCAGGTACCGGATTGTCTGGCTCGACAGCGGGCATCGGGTCACCAGGTATGACAGCGGGCACTGGGTCACCAGGCATCAGGTCATTTGGCTCGACAGCGGGCACCGGATCAGGTACCGGATCATCTGGATCAACAGCGGGCATCGAGTCAACTGGCCTAATAGGATCGTCAGGCTGGATCAGTTCATCATGCTGGGTAGAGGCATCAGGACGAGTAGAGGCATCAGGCCGAGTAGAGGCTTCAGGCCGAGTAGAGGCTTCAGGCCGAGTAGAGGCTTCAGGCCGAGTAGAGGCATCAGGCCGAGTAGAGGCTTCAGGCCGAGTAGAGGCTTCAGGCCGAGTAGAGGCATCAGGCCGAGTAGAGGCTTCAGGCCGAGTAGAGGCATCAGGCCGAGTAGAGGCTTCAGGCCGAGTAGAGGCATCAGGCTGAAGAGAGGCATCAGGCTGCGTACAGGCATCAGGCTGAAGAGAGGCATCAGGCTGCGTACCGGCATCAGGCTGAAGAGAGGCATCAGGCTGAGTAGAGGCTTCAGGCTGAGTAGTAGGCTTCAGGCTGAGTAGAGGCTTCAGGCTGAGTAGAGGCTTCAGGCTGATCCACGGAAGGCAGGCTCACCGGTTTGGATACTGGCAGGATGGTATTGGTTGGAAAGAATTTTCGCTTTTTTCTGGTTTTAACTACTGGAGCACTGCAAGTAAACGCAGGTCTGCAAACGAATGGAGCAGCTGGAGACAGAGAAGAACTGGAGGATGGAACAGGAGAGGGAGCGGTTGCTACAGAGGGCTCTTTTACAGGGTTAAAGGCAGGATAGGTGCAGCGAGTGGGAACAGGGTACTGACATGCGGTAGATAGCAGGGCAGGAGGAGCTGTTGGGAATGCAGGAATAGAGTTTTGAGGAAATAGATTAGAAGCAGGACTGGGTCTTTGTAAGCTGACTGAGGCTGGGTGCAACAAATCTGTCCATGTCTGCAGTATGGGTTGAACAAAGCTGAGCTTACACAAAGCCTGTCTGGTCAATGACTGTACTGCGTTTATACAATCTCTTAGTGTCTGTGGTGAACATGTGGAATAACGCTCCAGAAAGTAACCCACATCATCCTCTAATAACCGCACCAGGGACTCTACCTGGTCTGCACTAAATGGTGGCAAAAATTCATCCCTGCATTCGGGGGAACCAGATGAAACCAACTCAGCACAAACTTCAATCAAAGGCTGCACCTCAGAGAACTCTGTGCCCTGATCTACTAGAACATGAGCGAGCCGTATACATTCTAGCAGTTCATCCCGGGTATACTCCTTCAGAGTTTGATAAGCATACTCCCTGTCATCAAACACTAGCAGATATAAATATTCAACCTCATCCAGATCCATCCTTCCCATCAACAAGCCAAGATGGCTTCCCTGTGCAGCCACTTCTGGTCAGGATTGGCCTTGGTGTAATGTCAGGGCTCCCAGGTATGACCAGAGGTGTGTGACTGATGCAGGGAAACGCAGACTTCAGATATGTGATAAACAATACAATTTATTAACACTAACCATACAAACATAAACGCAGTGCAATACTAAACATAATACAGTGCAAACAAACCAAACCAAACCACCCACAGATAACAGTACATACAAGCAAGCGTCGTCAGGCAGGCCGGGTCAATATCAATTGGGCAAGTAGGTACAGGGGGAGCAAGCAGAGAATGGTCGGGGTCACAGGCCAGGTTCAGCAGGTAGCAAGCAGCGTAGTACAGAGGGTCAAGCAGAGGGATGGTCAGGGTCACAAGCCAGGGATCAGGACAGGTAGCAGAGAATCAGACAGGAACAGAGAGCAGAACAGGATACAGGGCCCAAGAGAAACACAACACCAAGGCAGAGTCTGTGGGTCTGGCCATCCCTTAAATACCCCAGCATCATCAGTTCCAGGTGTTAGCTGGCTGAAAGGTTGAGTCTCTGATTGCTGGGAGCACCCGCTGGCCAGCCCTGGTACTGCAGATCAAAAGGCAGGTGAGTCCCACCATTGCTGGCCAGTCCATTCCTAACAGCTTGTAACAGCTCATGATCCATAGCACACAACGTCCTCTGTAAAACATGGTGGAGGCAGTGTGATGGCATGGACATGCATAGCTTCCAGTGGCACTGGGTCACTGGTGTTTATTGATGATGTGACAGAAGACAGAAGCAGGCGGATGAATTCTGCAGTGTCTAGAGATATACTGTCAGCCCAGATTCAGCCAAATGCAGCAAAGTTGATTGGACGGCGCTTCACAGTACAGATGAACAATGATCCAAAACACACTGCAAAAGCAACCCATGAGCTTTTGAAGGAAAAGAAGTGGAATATTCTGCAATGGCCGAGTCAAATACCTGATCTCAACCCAAGTGAGCATGCATTTCACTTACTGAAGGCAAACCGAAAGGCAGGAAGACCACAAACAAAGAACAACTGAAAACAGCTGTAGTTAGAGCCTGGCAAAGCATCAGAAAGGAGGAAATCCAGTTTTTGGTAATGTCCATGGGTTCCAGACTTCAGACAGTCATTGCTAGTAAAAGATTCTCAACAATATATTAAAAATGAACATTTTATTTATGATTATATTAATTTGTCCAATTGCATTTGAGCCCCTGAAAATGGAGGGACTGTGTATAAAACTGGTTGCAGTTCCTAAAATTTGTACTTGATATTTATGTTCAACCCCTTGAATTAAAGCTGAAAGTCTGCACTTCAAATTCATTTGGATTGTTTCATTTTAAATTTATTCTGGTGGCATAGAGAGCAAAAAGTATGAAAATTGTGCCTGTGTCCAAATACATATGGCCCTAACTGTATGTCTTGCCATAACTGTATGTCTTGGAGGCTGGGCAATAAGAAAACAAAAAGCTTGGGTTATACCCGTATACACAGTCAGCAAGCCCTAGTATGGCTTAGTGTCTTAAGGAAGCATTACATTTCTTTCAGCTCTACTGATGAAATATTGAGGATTCCATGCATTGGGCAGTATCACACCAGACTGCCAAGTTTTGGATATTCACTTACACAGCCATCTGCATGCTTACTGTCATAACTAGACTACAAGACCTTGGAGAATCACTGCTTTCCATGCTTTGAGGTCAGTGTGAAGTTCAACATCAGGCTTCTGCCTCTAAGGTGTGTAGTGTGTAGAGCTTCCACTCAGTCCTTGGTTCACATATTTTCTAAGTTCTATTTGGTGGGTGTAGCAGTTTTAGCTGAGAGCTGGACATAACACTATCTGGAGGTTGGGCTGTGAGGTGTAAAAATACAGTGCCCTGTTTGGGACAGCTTTTGGACATCTGAGTGGTCTACTGAATCCTCAAAAAATGCAGAGAGATTTATGTACTCACCATAAAATCAATATTTTCAGTAGCCCATTGGCAGATACAGATCATGGCCAATTTACTTTATGTAGGTGTCAGGCATGTTACAATTCAATGTTGTCATCTGAATGTACATTTTGACTGCCAGCTTCTGAGGTTGGCTGACTGAGCAGTAGGGTTTGGTTTAGTCCCGAGGAGAAAACAAGACTTTCTACTTTTCTGGTGACAGGGAATATACCTACTGGTCTACTGTGTCCCCCAATTTAACTACTAAAAAAAAAAGTATTAATATACTTTTTTGCATGTTACATTTAACACTTATAATCTAGGAGCCATCTGTATTTAGGATGGTGTGACAGTTAAATTGGAACCCCTGATTCCAGTGGCAAGAGGCATGGGAAGAGCACAAGGGTCACTAGGCCCTGGAATCTAGTTGCTGGACCTATGTCTATCTCTAAATTCACCCTGTATATCTTTAATGCTCTGTAGTGATGCTTGGCAGAAGTAATGTCACCAAGAGATATCTTCCTTATCTAGTGCTGGGATATGCAATCAAGCAAGTCTGTCATTTAATGACAGGGAAACTCAGTAGAGGTGTTGTCACACACCTTTCCTCATCTCTCAGCATATGGGGAACTCCTGAACCTGCGGCATCCCCTATCGAGTGTAAACTTCGAGCTCAGAAATCCACAATTAAAGGAGCATAGGCATCTAAGGGACACTAAAAGAATATAAAATAATAAATGTGATAATGAAATTGTGATACTTATCAACACCTATTAAATTGCGCTGAATGTAATCAATATAATAATATAATATATATAGTTGAATCAGAGTGACTTGCGAACCACAGGTGTGATAATTACTAGGGGATCGCAAACATGAAACACATAACTACAACTGTGTTGGAAATATCTGCAAATATATGTTGCGCTCCTAAATACTTCTCAATAAATAATAATTAAATTATTAACATTAAATATATTCAAATTATGATACAAATAACTAATAAAAGTGTATACATACCAAAGAATATTTAAATAGATAATTTCAGCTAATCAATCTCTTCCAAATAAATATCAAAATAATTCCACATGAAATACTCCTCTAAAAAAATATTTTGCCCAGTGCTCATAAATCATCCATTAGTGACATGATGTGGGGATCATTTAAATGCGTTTTAGTTGAGGGTTACTAGTTGGTTCACTATTTTTATTATATTAAATGAGGGTATTGTGAATATAAATAAAGTTGAGGGTATTGGTGAGTACATCATGTCACTAATGGACGATTTATGAGCACTTGGCAAAATATTTTTTTAGAGGAGTATTTCATGTGGAATTATTTTGATATTTATTTGGAAGAGATTGATTAGCTGAAATTATCTATTTAAATATTCTTTGGTATGTATACACTTTTATTAGTTATTTGTATCATAATTTGAATATATTTAATGTTAATAATTTAATTATTATTTATTGAGAAGTATTTAGGAGCGCAACATATATTTGCAGATAATATATATAGTGTTATAGTGGCGCTTAATTAATAATAAAGTGATATAGTGAATACCACAAAATGAATGTGAACAATCAAACAAATTTAGTATCCGTGAATTAATGTGCACACAAAATAATCAATAAATATAATATAGTGATCCAAAGTCCATGAAAATTAATTATTTTTCTTTAAATTCACCACGTGCTGTTTACTGATAATCGAGTACTTCACAAAATCCCCACATGGATATGCACTCACCACAGATAATTGCCTTCCACTCTCGTGGTTGGCAAACAGGCTTACAGGGATAATCTTCCCAACTATAAACGATGCTTATAAATTGTATAAGTATGAAACTCCACTGTCTCGAGATATATCATGTAAAACACAAACACAGAGAAATGCTCCAATGGTATAGTATAAAAGCAAGATCCTTTAA